TTAATTATTTCTGTTTTTTTTTCTCTCGAAAAATGGTTTAAAAGTAAATGGACTGGAAATAGGTTTTAACGGCGTCGAAGTAATTTAAGGTTATGTTTACGTCGAAGTAATGATTTTTAAACGATGCATAATCAAGTAGTTCTACATTATTAAGTCTTTGTTATTAAATAATGATTCTGATGAAAAATAAGCAATGAAAAACTAAAACTGGAAAAAAATTAATAATTTAAAAATGTACATAGTGAGTTAAATAATTTACAGTAAAAATTTTTTTACTTTGAGGTTTTTAGAAATCGTTATTAATATCCTTCGGCTTTTATAAAATCGTTTGTTAGGTTCTTTGTGACGAATTCAGGTAGAATATGATTCAAAAAAGGTATGAATTAAAAACCTAAATAACATACACTTGTGGTAACCTCTGGTTACTCCTTACATCCGAACCCTCTTGTCTATCTGTAAACCCGGTTACAGGTGTAGTAGGAACATAATAATCCACAGACATTATTTCCAATCTAAGTATTTTATTAATTCTTATTAACAAATATCGATCAGACAAAATACAATTCTAATTAAGGTATATGAACTATGGTAGAGGGCAGAGGTGAGATACTCCAATGCGGGGATAATATTACAGACCCTCAACTGAATCTAAGACAGCTTAAATGCGCTCAATTACAACTACGTCGCACACTAATAACTAGCTTCTATTTAATTAAGAACACAGTACCTGTACCTTTAATGTAGTGGATCCTACACTGTAACTTACAGGGACTATCTTTGGCTTGTTCAATGCCGTATGTTCCACGCTTTGCAATCCTTTTACTAATTCTCGAACTTCAAGTTCACTCCTACTTGCACACATCTAATGTATCAACTTTAGCTTGTCAACAACTATGTGTCAACAGATCACTTGCTCCCTTCCTTTTTACTTCACTTTACTTAACTTAACCTCTTACTTCGCTCTCTGTCAACTCGCGAAAACCGAATTTATATAATATTCCTCATTTTCATACGTTTGGTTTCTCGATGAAAGTTGATTGAAATAAATGTTTCATTTTAAAGAGAAAAGAAGATATTAGTAGAACCGCGTATAGATCCGTCACACACTTTTATAAAAAATTTATTATATTTCACTTCTAATATAATGATATTTTTTTAATACAAAGAAAAAATAACCTAAAGCAGAAGAATTGAAATTATAAAATTTTTAGTTAATTAATGTATATGTTACCGGCAAAGTATGAAATGCGGGCATTCTATACAATGCCGGACGTTTTTAGGCAAAGTATGAAATAAGAGATTTATTACATACTTTGCCTAGGCATTGTATAGAACGCCTAGGCATTCTATAGAATGCCCAAATCTGTTTAGGCAAAGTATGAAAAAAGGTCTTGATAAGGATATTATATCAATGACTTACATTCCTAAATGTACAAATGTTATTCTGACAAAATGAGATTGCTACTGAAAAAAAATATTGCTAAATTGTGATTTCGCATATACTTGTATTCGAATTCCTTCAGAAGTTCTAAGTCGATAGACACCATCCTATTTCCCACTCATTACAATTGCCAATATATTGGCACTCGGAAACAAAATCAAAGTTTTTACTACAATACCTTTTTTTAAATAATTTTCTGTTTTTTCTGGCAAGGTTCACAAAGGTGGATGTACAAGTTCAATATTATAACATGTAACATTTTTGTATTTGTTTGAAAGTTCTTTCAGAATTCTATCACATCCCAGAATTCGAATTTAATTTTGCTCTTGGCAAATTAGAACAAGTTCAGAGCTCAGGTACCTCCCTCTGGGATGAAAACCGGGAGTCAAAATTACCGGCGGCAATCGGTATCGCCTACATGGTGCCACACTAAAAAGGATAGCAGTCCCTGGGAATGTATTAGGTCTGAAAATGGTAAAAATAACAATATGTAGCCCCATTGGGGAAAAAAGAATCCGTGACGTAATACTGTATAACAGTTCTTCCCAACATTTTTATCTTCGGGACCGGTCAACGTTTGATAATTTTACGGTGGCCCGCTGAGAGTGTGACGTTGATTATTTATATTTAAATTGTTTTGATTTTATAATTTGCAGTAGAACATCGTTTTTTCGAATCAATTGGGACCGTACACCGTTCGGATGCGGGGTTTTCGGATAACCGAAAGCGATCCATGCAGTATATGAAACCGGACACTATACGAATATTGAAAATCAAACAATTGAAAAATTTACAAATTTTTTTAGCAGTGCAAAGTGCCTCTGAGAATTGTACCGCGTGCCACATGTGACACAGATTGCCGACCCCTGCTGTAGATCGTGACACCTTCTCCAACACTATAGCTTGCTCCTCCATTTTCAGGCAGCACAGGAAAAACCAATTTTTTGTTGAACAAGTTTAAGTAAAATGGAGCATTTTGACATTTCCGAACAAACAGCAATGTATAACTAACAAATTCTGAGCCTGAGACACATGTTAAAAGTTTTATGTCTTGCGAAATGACAATATTCAAAACGAATCTAGATGTATTTCATACTTTGCCGTTTCTCATTAGGCATTCTATAGAATGCCTAGCAATGTGTGAAATAGGAATCATTTCATACATTGCCTGCTAGATTTAGGCATTGTATAGAATGCCTAGCATTCTATAGAATGCCCGATTTCATACTTTGCCGGTAACATATATATGTTTATATCCACATTATCAAATTATTAAGTTTATATATATATTATTATATTACATTAATTTAAATATGTAAAAGTTTCGTTTGATTTAGTTTGGATTTCAAGGAAAAAATTCAAATTAATGAGATGGAGGAATTTACTTTTGTTGAACAAGCAAATAGATATCAGGTTCAATAGACGAAGTTGCAATTCTTAATGCATTTTCAAGATGTTAGTCTGAGGTTTTTATCCTATTTTTGTTTTTTGTATGCTTCATTCTTGAAAATAATTGCTCACAAATATAGGTACAGCCAAAAGCTGAAGACATTAATAAAACATAATTGTGAAAATTATAATAACTATCGAGGGGTAGGTAATCTTTATAAAATTCCAGTAAAGAAACATTCCCAAAATTTTCTTTCAGTTAAATGTCCCTTTGCAGTTCAATACATTCTATTTGAAGATTTGGAGGTAATGTATTTATTTTTAGAGCAAAAAGGATAGGAAATATGTTGATATGCGATATACTGCACACAAATTATGTAATTATTCAAAAAATTTGCCGTCGAGTGGATACACACATAATTCGAAACGTAAATTCTCATGACATACAAGATGTTTTTATTTAAATTTTTATTTCAAAATAAATGTCAACGAATCGATTATATATGGAAAATATTGCAAACATTTATTTTTTTAAATAAAAATGTGTAAGTTTAGATATTTTCAAAATTTGCGTTTGGGCCGCACTTTAGACAAGCATGCTCTACGCCTTCATAAAGTGTTTATTTTTCCTGTAGGCCGAAATTAAGGCCTCGTATTAAACTTGTGGTGTAAAGTAACTGTTGTCAGGATCTTTTCAAAACAAGAACAACGAAGTTGTATAAAAGTTGAATGTGCTAGAAGTCGCACAGCACGACAATGTCATCTAGGGCTTCAAGAGGCTTTCGGAGAATCTGCATTGCCTTACAGAAATGTAGCAAGATGGGTAAAAATCTTCAACGAAGAACGCCAAAATGTGGCAAACGTGCATCAGCCAGGTCGTGCTAATGTCAGCGAAGCAGAAGTGCATGCTGTTGCCACACTAATGGACTGTGATCGACCCCCAGATCTAAGTCCTTGTGACTTAATTTCTAAGATGAAGGAACCACTTCTTGGTATTCGCTTCAGAAATGTTCTACAGATTCTTGCGGCAGTAGACCGGTTCATTCTAACTATGAACAGAAGAGGCGCTGCTACCGGCGTTCTGCGACTTCCTCATCATTGGAAACGGGTTATACATAATTCTGGTGACTATATTGAAGCTCTGTAAAGCAGGGTGACATGAATCACTTGTGTATTTCATGTAAATAAACTGTTGCCACTATTAAAGTTCCAAACCTCGTATTTAAATCGAGTTTTTATATAATCAAAGAAATCTGTTCAATGAGTTAAAAGGTGTAAAAATGTTTCTTGTACAATATTTATTTCAAACTTTATTAAATTCTTCAAAACCAAAGTAAAATAAATTTAAGATAAAATTTAAACATAAAACTATCATAACAGTAAATCTTTAAACATTTTATACTCTCCAAATCTTTCATTAAACATATTTCATATTCAGAAGTTTATCGCGATATTTTATTAACTACCCAATTAATGTATTTCGTAACTGAATCATAAATTGGTGTAGCTATTCCCGGAAATAATCCAATGTTTAATAATCTGGAGTTAAATAATGCATTAAGAGCATCAATGTGAAACAAGAAATCAACTGATGCAGAACTTCATAAGTTACGCCAGATAGCAATTTCATGTTCCGATCCGATGTATATCATCATTTGTTACAGAAGCTAAGTACAATTCATATACACATGTCGTACATGGTAAATGAGAGGGATCATTATTAAAATTTCTGATCTATACCTTGCAATATACTTTAATAATTGTCCTTTTGTTGTTGCATGTAACAGTGTGGAATAAATAATAAATAATAATGAATAGTAATTAGGAAAATTTCCAATATCTGCTTAGAGTTATAAAAACTTGAGGGATATTTCCCCAGTAATGTAGAAAAATCACCTTTTTCTCCAATTCCTACTCTTAGTTCACTCTCTCCTCATATATATAAATATATTTATTTATATATATTGTTCAAATTTTAAATTGTTAATAAAATACTTTCTATTCATCCATTCAAGTTCAAATACATTTTTTAAATTTGTAGTGGATGACACGTGCTGTTAATACAGTTTTTTTCAATATGAGTTCATTAATTAAATTAAAAAATGAATAAATAGTAACAAACAAAAATAATAGTCCAACAATATATCTAGAAAGGAAAATTGTTCGTTATTTCCCTGTAGCGTAACTGATAGCTCGTTGGACTTCTAACTCAAAGGTCTTGGTTTCTAATCCCAACTGGGATGGCCTAAACTCTGAGAATGTGATTTCTTTTTTACTATACTACTTTATTAGAATAATTAAATTTAATCAATGAATAAATAGTAACAAGCAAAAAAATAGTCCAACACCATATATGGAAAGGAAAATGGAAAATTGCAAAGAAAATCGCTATCTATTTTGACACTTAGTATTGTGATTCTGTCATATGTATATACATATTTAACTATTTAATAAAAAGTACCTAAAATAAAATTATTCTTTGTTGACCTAAGTAGGAATTGACTTAACATTTTTTTATATTACTTGTTTTAATAAAAGTTAATTTTATACACTTTGGAGCAAAATAAAAAAATAAAGTTTATATATATATACACTCATGGATAAAAAAAAATTAGCGCATCAAGGAGGAGTCGTCAAAAGGAAACGAAATTTTACATACGTAGTGACTACTTTGATATAAGTAAATGATTAGAAAATCAAAGAAAAAGGATCATTTATTTCAGAGAAAAGGGCAAAAGAACGGAGGATTTAATACCTTGTTGAACCTCTTCTAGCGCGAATGCCCGATGCTATACGATCGGGTATTGAGGCATACAAGTTCTGTATGATGTCTTGAGACATTTTGTTCCATATTTTCTGTAACGTTGCCTCTAGTTCGTTCAAACTCGTGGGATTCTCAACTCGCCATCCCAAATGATCCAAGATATTCTTGATAGGAAACAAATCTGGGGATCGGGTAGGCTAAGGAGGGGTAGCAAAAGTGCGAAGACAGTCTTGTGGCATCCTTGCCTTGTGAGGTCGATAATTCTCTTGTTGAAAAATGGCCCCTGAGAGCCGTTGCATGAATGGCAACACAAGTGGTTGCAGGAGGTCATGGACATACCACTGGGCTGTCATGGTGCCATGGGTCAATACTAAGGGTGACCATGTAATGTAGGCAATGTCACCTCATACCATCACACCAGCAGTGGGAGGGGTGTGTCGCTGTAAAGCAAAAGGCAGGATTGAGGTGTTCACCGCAGGATCTCCACACATGAACACGATTGTCATCACTGCTGATATTGAATCTGGATTCGTCGCTAAAGACGACCTGGTTCCATTCCGCTGCAGTCCAGTTTCCTTGAGCGCGGCACCACTGTAAACGGAGGCGTTGATGGACGGGCTTCAAGGGCAGCACACGTAATGGGCACCGCGATCCGAAATGTCCTTCAGCCAGGCACCTTCGTATGGTTCGAGAAGACACAGGGGCCCCTAGTGAAGGGGCTACGTGTGCCTGTATGGCGGCCAATGAAACAATTGGCTGTACGCATGTACGCGTGCATTTCTTACGATGTGACGGTCTTCTCGACGACTGGTCTGTCGAAGGCGTCCTGAGCCTGGTCTTCATGTAAATGACATCTCTCGGATCCATTGGTCCCAACACTTCCTCACAACACAATCAAAGCGGCCTAATTGACGAGCTACTCACCTAGCTGACCACCCAGTTTCCATCATGCCGATGATTCTCCTCCTCTCAAACTGCGACAGCTGCTCACATTGTCTTCGAAAATGGCGTAATGGCATGTCTACCTCAGCACTTCCTTTGTAAACGGTTCAGCACACTCAAACAAGCTTTGGTTACTTGTTTTATACTCCACGAAGAACGACGTCAAATGCCTTCTACCGGTTATACGTAATGCGCAATCACGCTGCCTTTTTTATCATTTGCATATCTCCCTGACATATACCTTCATGCCAAATTTCATTACAATCCGGCAATTATTTCTTGGTGCGCTAATTTTTTTGTCGAGTGTATATCAATGTACTTATTTAAATTACAAACACATTTATTCCATAAGAGCTAAACACTTTTTAATAGAATAAATAAAATGATCTTAAGAATCATATGTAATTTTTTTCATAATATAAATATATAATGCAATTATCTGAAAAATTAAAATTTATTTCTGTTTCCCATATTATGTGCAATTTTAACCTAAATTAGGTAATTTAGAAAAAAATAAATGCATAAGATTATTATGGCAGCTTAAGAAAAATGTTAAACTTGCGATGCCAAAAGCAAAATAATAACTAAAGTTATTGTTATTTAAAAATAATTACAAAATAGTAACGAATGAGACTTGATCGATGACCGGTTCTTAATACGAAACTGATGAAAGAAGTTATAAGGAGCTTAATTGAATACATTTTGTTAAATTAACAAACATACAATATGTTTTAGAAACTGCGAAGCCCTAAGAAGTAACATCAGTTTCCATAGAAGTTTTCAACATCCATGTCACGTGAACGGTTGGCTTTGTAGACATTGTAATTTAAAAGAAAATATTGCATAAAAAGTTGTTAAAATTAGTTCTGGAAATCATATTGTAAGAGTTATCGATAAAGATGCTTCATATTAAAAATACATTTTCTTTCAACATTATCATTAAAAGATATTTTATAACTTTATTTCATATTAGCTATTACAAAAAAAAAACATATTTAAACTTGTTTTT